TATGCAGTAGCAAAAGATTTGGTAAGACGGTTACCTGAGATAATTTGGAAGGCAAATGTGTCTAGAATGTACTTAAGACTTCTCTGTAAAGAGGACTTGAAATGTTGCTAATGGGAATCGGGTGTTAGAAGCTGCATTTGATAAGGTAATACAAGAAGGAGAATGAGCTCCAAGTTAAGTGACTTGTTTAACATAAGGGATGAAAAGGAAACTAAAGGCTGAGAAATTCCAGGAGTTACAGGGTTGGAAAAACAAACTGTTTCTCATGTCTAAATGGTTAAGGATAAGTGGTTTGAGTTGCAAGGGCTAATTAAGACTAACTCAATTTAAGGACAAAGACCAAATTATGGGCCAGAGCACAAAACCTTCTGATTGGATTAAGGTGTCCCTCAGTAAATCCTTTTAGCGGGACAAAATGGCTCAGGAAAAAGAAACCAAAGAAGTGATATCAGGAAGCCTGAGGAACTCAAATACCTGCACTTAAGTTTTAGAGAGCGAAACAGATTTGTAAAAGAATAGTGAGTGTGTCTATTAGTACCCGGAGCAGAATAGACTAGATATAAAAGAAGAAAAGAGTAGATAAAACTTTTCAAAGAATTTTAATGCCAAGAGTATTGCTAGACTGAAATAGCAGAGTGTTGCTTTTTATAGCTTAAAACGACGTGTGGACCCCCAACTTTCTCTGGGCAGGAAGCAGGACAAAAAGCTGCTCAGTTCCAAGGAGGGCTATTTTCCAATTTTCTGTTCAAATGTGACTGAGGACAGTAAAGGAAAAGGAAGGAAGAGGTTGGAGCCAGTAGCCCTGGAGAAAATTCTCTGAGGAGCTAATCCCAGGTTACAGACCCTTAATCAAAGACTCTTAATTAATGAAAGTCATTTTCTCTATCTCAAATGCCCTGTGTTTGCCCAGTGGGATTTCAGAGCTTCTATAGAGCAGGGAGTGTTCTGTGTTGTCCATTTTTTCCATTTTCAAATGGACGCGTTTATGTGTTTATCATGCTCCTCTTCCACCGTTTCAGGCTGAGTGCCTGTGGACAAGGTAACTTGTCTACTTAGTTCTCTGTGTCCAGATCAAGAGGAGCTATTTGGATTTGGTGTAGATAGGATCATGAGCTTTAAGGCTGATGTTTTGATTGATTGAAATTTTTAGGATGTCTTCCTTGCAGGGGTGAGAGAATTTTGTGTGCAGAAGTATAGGAAGTGAGTATCCGTGACCAAGAAGGTGAACTGAGATAGACTGTATTCACACATACTTGTATCCTCCTTCCAAGCAAGAGGGTTCCCCATCACTGCCATTGGCGTTGGACTCGCTTGCTCCTGTGGGAAGATTATATGTCTCTTCCCTGTGTGCTTGGGCCTTGGCCATGTGGCTTGCTGTGTCCAGTGGAAGATGATGTATGCCACATCGAAACAGAAGCCGTCAGTGCAATGGTGTTGCTTGGGCAAGGCCACTCACTTTTACCTTCTGCAAGTATTTATGAGATTGTCTCACAAAGGGCTGCTTTGTAGCCTGGGCGCAGGATTAAGGAGACACGTGCAACAGAGACAACCAGAACCAAGCCACTAACCCTTAGCCACTGACATGTAAAATGAGCAAGAGATAAATGTTTATTTAGTAAGTCACTGAGATGTTAGATTATATCTTATGCAGCAAAACTGACTAATACAGTACTTAACAAATTGAGATTTTTCAATATTGATTTGCTTAGCCCCATGAATTCAATCTTGATTTATAGATCTAAAGTATTTTTAAGAGAAGAGGATTGATGTGGCCTTGCATTGCTGTTTTATAAAAGCTTGCATATACTCTTATATTTATGCTATTTTCAACATTTTGTTTAATTTGTACCAAGTCAATGAGAGTTTAGATGAATTTTCACTTACTTAAAAGTCCTGCAAATGTTGATGATTTTGACATCACACTTCCGTATTTCATGATTGTGCTTTAGAAGATACTTGAGGAGGAAATATAATTTATATTTTTTTCTGATTGTTGCCTAGGGGGTAACAGACCATTTAATAATATTAATAGATGAGACTTATGAGGAGCACACTATGTCAATTATAGTGCTACATACTACACATTTATTATCTTATTTAACATTGAAAAATTCTTCATGAAAAAAGTTCTATTATTACTTTCCTGACAAATTTCAGAGAAATGGGTAGTTTTTTTAAGGTCACACAGCTAGTAAGGTGGCAGAGCTGAGATTTGAATCCAGAACCAAGACCCTTAGCCCATCTTGCCTCCTTATTCTGAGTGATCTTCAGCAATAAACCAATGCCTCTAGGTACCAATTTCACGGTAAGCTGAATATTTCCGAGACTCTCACTGCTTTGGAAAGCCCAAAGTTTCTGTCTTCATTATAAGAAGATTCGATGTGTTCTTCAACATTTTTGGGTTATAAAGAGAACATATATGAATGAAATAAATTTCTAAATGCATGTGGTCTGTGATATGAAATAACATATACATTTATATAAATCAATTAACAAAAATATCTATTTAGCAATTTCTAAGTCTGACCATAATTATTTGTGTAGTTTCTGGATTCAACAAAATGATATAATACATAATCAATATAATGTATCTAGGCTGACTCTCTTTTACATCTTCAAGGATTTTATGGTATAGCAAAATGATAATTAGAGATCCAATTTATTTTATAGAAGGAATAGATCTGCTTACTATGTGACAGAAGTCACATAGTGATCTTCCACTTCTGTATCAAGCCGGCATCCCAGAAAGTGTTCCAAGGGCCACTACTTTGTCTGGATGTTAAGTTATCATTATAGTATGAAAGTGTTCAGTGGAAAATTCTGGATTCCACCTTTTTTTTTTAAAGGTTTCTTTTATTGTAGGAGTCTTAAGTGTCTTCAACATACTGATGCGAATTATAACTTTACAAAAGAAGTATAAATACGGTCTATTTCTCGGACTTATTTAACCAGGACTGAATCTTAGGTCAAAATTTGGAAAACATTGGTTTAGACTAAGAAAGGATTAAAGTCATCCAGAAAAACCCAGGGATAAGTCAACTCACTGTGTTAAAAGGAGGGAATTACATTCTTGCTTATATAAGAAGCTTCATATAAAATTTAAAGCAAAGTTTATAGATGAATTAATAACTAAGCAAATAATAGAGCTAATAATAGAGGAGATATCATATTAGGACAGTTAAGTCATGTTTCGGGGAACTTTAAGAGTTAAAAATATCTTTCTACGTTTCATATACACACTTAAACTTATGGATCAGATATAAATACTTATTTAAGACAATTTAGTCATGTTTAATATAAATCATGATTATTGGATTTTAAAAAAGTCTTACAGACTGAGAAAGGAAAATACCTGAGCTGCACTCTCAATTAATGATGACAGTCTATACACAGAAAATTGTTTCCAAGGGTAAAATACAATCTTGTGGTCAGAATGGCTATCGTCAACACTTCGATTAATGTTAGATGTCAGAGTCTAAGGCTATTTAACGTCTCCAGGAGCCAGCCCTCACTGAGTTGTAGTGAAAGCTATAAGAATTCTATTTGACAGCGTGTTACTGGTGAAATCTACCTAGAATCTCTGCAAATTGTTACTATTGTATCTTTTGCTTCCTTCAAAATCGCTAAGCTAGTACTCAGGAGATGCACCAGGAGAAAAAGACACAAAGAAATTCATGTGGGATACAGTCATCAAGTGCAATAAACAGCTTAGTTATTTGGGCTCAGCAAAGAAACGCGATGACAGCTAATCGCTATAATTTTAATCTTTTGCTTTGTGCTTCCAAAACCCAAGCACTTTATTTTTATTTTCTTTCCTATTTCTGGACTGTAATTTGTCAGATCCATCGAGTTGCAACTTTTAGAAAACCTGCCAGATCACCTTGGAAATTCTTATTTGACTTCAGATTAACTCTTCATTTGTATTACAAAATCAAACCTAATATTTACTGAAACAAATACATAATGCATAATGTGGAACTTTAAAAAAAATAAAAATAAAGTCTTGTTTTATTCGGGGAATAAACCTTGTTTTACTCAGGGAAATGACACTATCATTCTAATACAATACAGTATTATTATTATAGTACAGTTCTATACTACTGTTAGATGACACTGTACCACAGTGTACAGGGAACAGACGACACTGTACATCTACTACCTTTTAAATATTCAAAATGACTTAAAGTTGTTAGGAAAAATTTATGAATAATTTATTAATTTGGGAGAACAGAGACCATGTTTTCAGTGATTCATAGAAGAAAATATTTTGATGGTCACAAAAATCTGTTTCTAAAAGGGAATATATATGGATTTCAGGGCCTTAGTAAGAAAGCATCTATATTCAGAGGCAGTATTTAGTGAAACTTACTGTTCTGTCTTGAATGAAGATCTTTATAATATCTGACTATCTTCAAGCTTATCAGAAGATATATGCTGAAGATGCTAATGACAAAAAGTTATCACTTATCTTTTGTCATTCTGAAATATATAGACTTTGAAATATTATTTTCCAGGAATTTGAGGGTCTTTCTGGAAATCTGCTTTTTTAGAATTACAGATGTGGAAATTTATTGTGGTGATAATTTGATTATGAAGTCAGCAGGGCATGATCTTGTAAAAAGATTTTTGGGAATCTTACATAACTTTGATTCATCTGGTATGAAAGTTAAGAAAATTTTTTTTGGAACTCTGGAAAGAATTATGCTTACCTTTGACATTTATTTCACTCAATATAAAGTATATACGTTGTACGATATGCTTAATTTAAAAAAAATTTTAAATATACAGAGACTTTTCAATTCCTACTATAAAATTTTTCCCTGAAACCACTTTATTGTTTGTTGTAGAAAAAGATATTTTCTGGAATTGAATTCACTATATTGAGCCTTTCTCAAATATGGCTGTTTCTTCCCACTGGGACATCTTCCTTTTTTTTGTTTTTGGAGGAAAATTAGCCCTGAGCTAACATCTGTGCCCATCTTCCTCTATTTTATATGTAGGTTGCCTGCCACAGCATGGTTTGATAAATGGTGCACAAGTCCATGCCCCAGATCCGAACTGGTGAACCCTGGGCCCCTGAAGCAGAGCACGAGAACTTAACCACTGCACCAGTGGGCCGGCCCCTGGGATGTCTTCTTACAGTAAACCTAGCCACAAAAAGCCAGGTGCTACTGTGGTCCTAATTATGTGCTATCCATGAAAGGCACAATGTAAGGACCTAAATTTTGAGAAAAAATTCTAAAGATTTCCTGAGGCCTTTGCAGAGAATGAGATCTACAACCATCAGAAATGGGCTGGTGCATTTTGGAGATTTACAGCATGGTAGCGAACCGCTGAAGCTCTGCATGTTGACAGGCGAGATTTGACTAGGAGCTCTAGCATTTATCAGCTCAGTGGCCTCAGGTAAGTTTCTTAATTTCTCTAAGCCTCAATCTCTTCATCTGAAAAAGAACAATAAAGATATCTAACTTACAGCTTTGCTGGCAAGATTAAATAAGGTATTGTGTATGAAAGCACCTAATGTGCCCAGTACATTGGTTGAAACTCAATAAATGGTAGGAATAATTTGTTTTCTTAGTTACATGCTAGGTCCCATTTGCTTGTTCAATGCTTGTGATCAATTGTTCAAAATCTTGGAAGAATAGTATATAAATACATTACTGTTGATGACTAATTAGCGTGCTGCCTAAAATGTTCTGTAGTATAAAATGTTAATCTGATAAACTATGTGTATATTTCCTTTAGCTACAGGACAGACTTTATGTTTGCTTGGCTATCGGGGTTTTTTGCTCTTGTAGCATGACTGCGTAGCTGCTGACAACTTTCAACAATGGGTGAGGGGCTGGTCAGGAGAAGGTGCTGGGAACTGAAGTTAATGAATGAAGTCAGCCTGGGAAAAGGGTTAGGGTTGATTCGGAGCTTGGTGGTAACTCCAGAGGGCAGGAGCAGGGCCCACCCACCAAGGGGCAGGGACACAAAGAATAGGGCTTATCCAGAGAGGAAGAAAGGGATTGGGGCCATGACAATAATGAGTAGGGAAGAAGGCAGGGTCAACTGCCAGTGGGAGGTGGACAGCAAGACAAAAGATGTTCCTGTTGAAACAGAAATTCACCACGGTCAAATATTTCTGGTTCTGAAATTAACCATTTTTACTGGAGTGCAAGACAATTTATTTCCATATTAAATTTTTATTTAAAATATTATACACAGATCATGGAGTCAAGTATTTTATTCCCATTTTACAGATGATTAGATATACCAAGTCACAAAGAGTTAGTAGCTTATTCTATTTGTTTTAACATAGTGAAATAGAATCCAATCTCAAAATTAAATGTTTTAGGATCATCTTATTTTTTTGACTATAGATTTTTAACTAAAACTCTTACCATTAACCTTGTTGCCTTCTCAACTCAGTAATCCCAGTACTACAAACATCTTACTTGCCTCCCAAAGAAAAGGCTACAAAACGATTACCAACGGTGTTCAAATATAGAGAGAATTTTTATAAATATACAAATGGTCAGTTTTTTTTCCATTTTTCACTGAAAACAACATAAGAGGAATATTAAGTTCAAGGAGAGATATAGGCTAGAAATCTAACACATACACACACAAACATACACGCACATACACACACCCTAGCTACTAGCTAATAAAATAAGTTTTGAAGGGATAGTAAGAAAAATTTTTTTCCTGGAAGTTTTAAAGGTTTAATAGATAATTATGGGAACTGTCATTACCTGAAATCAAATTAATAATGTCATTGAAAAATATGATGACATGTGGATATTTTATGTAGTTTTAGTTTGTGCTTTCAACACAATCCACACAAATATTTTAAGGGCCACCTACATGCCCAGCACTGTTACACGTGGACACATTTTGTTAGACAATATATTTATTGAGTTACACAATGCTGTAGGTAGCTAAGCAGATATGACAAAAAAGAATCATTTCCCTCTGTTTAATTATAAAATATATCTCAGGTGTTCCTGAAATACCTAATCTACCTAAATGTGATTTCTGATGATTGAGAGATTTCCTTAGTAGGGAGAGGATGGAGAAGATGAGGCTAAGAATACAGGCCCCGTGTCAAACAGGCTCGGTTTGGACCTCAAATCCACCATTTGTTAAATGTATGGCCCTGGGTCAGTCACTTAATTTTTCCCACCTCAGTTTTCCCATGGGTACATTGGGAATAGTAATGGTACCACCTTCTAGGAATGGCATGTGTTATAAGTAAGAGAATGTAGGTAAATCACAAAATTACTTGGCACAAAGTGAAGAACTCAATATTTGACTATTTTTACATTATTGTTAACTGACTTTCTAACGTTGGGCAAAATACTTCATTTTCCTGAGCTGCAGTTTCCCATGTGTAAAATGCAGATAAATCCCTATTTGTTGATAGGAATATACTATGAGCTTCCAGCATAGAATTCAGGATTATTGAAATGTTTCTTTTATTTATATTATTTTTGACTTCTGTTGCCTTTTCTATTTCACGTTACTAATTTCATCTAAAAAAAAAATGAAAGCAATTGTCTTCAGTGGCAATTTGTCTAAATGTGAGGGGTTTACCAAAAGTGAGTGACGTGCATAACTTTTCGTAGCCCTTTCAACCCAATTAGGTACCAAAATGTTGCCTTCCATCCCAATGCCGTCATTCTGAGGGGTGTGGGGGCTGTCAGGAACCATCTGTTTTTGGGCAATTGGCAGGGAGGCTATGGTCCCAGGAGACAATTCAGATGGGGCTCAGTGGGTCACATGGCACAGACTGGCCCGCTTTTGCTGGATGATCTATCGATGGCTTCTGTGGCTGATCCGTTCTGTGGCTGAGGAGATGTGCACACCAGGGGAAGTCTAGGGCTTTGGTTTTGCTTCCACAGGGCCTCTGGGCACCATCTCAGGTGCTCTACTGTCACCCTGAAAGGTGTCTCCCCTCTCCCTGAAGAGCTCTTCCTCCCTTCCCTGGCCCCCAAGCCCTCCAAGGTCAGGCCCCAGCTCTTCTAGCCATCTCTCCCGATTGAGGTGCCAGGGCATCTGCGGTTCCCTCTGTTTTCTTTCTGGCCTTTACTTTGGCATGCAATCCGTGCTCTAGTAACCTCAGGGACTTCCTTTTAAAAATGCAAAAGCCCAGTTTGGAAATCTTTTTCTTTGATGATCTAAAACACTCAATGCTCCTGGAGGCAATGGGGACGCCTGGCCTATTAGGCAAGTGGCCAGGAGGTCAGGGAAGAAAGAAAAACTCAACAGTGAAGGTAAATAGTCCAAGGATTTCTCCCACCACTCATGTAAGACCACAGTGGTGTTTTATGGTCCTCTGAGTTTGTGGGGGCCCAGGCCACTACATCTGCTTGACCACGATAACCAGCTTCCAGACTCCCATCAGTTCTGCGCCTTAGGAAGCTGTGTGTATTAGTTTGCTAGGGCTGCCAGAACAAAGTACCACAGACTGGGGCTTCAACAACAGAAATTTGTTTTTTCACAATTTGGTAGGCTGGAAGTCTGAGATCAAGGTGCCAGCATGGTTGATTTTTTCTGAGATCTCTTTTCTCGGCTTGTAGATGGCTGTCTTCCCTCTGTGTCTTCACATGGTCCTCTCTTTGTACATATCTCTGTCCTAACCTCTTGTTCTGATAAGGACACCAGTCATAGTGGATTAGGGTCCATCATTTTACCTTAATTATCCCTTTAAAGCCCCCGTCTCCAAAAATAGCCACATTCTGAGAAACTGGGAGTTAGGACGTCAATATTTGAATGTGGAGACAGGAGACACAATTCAGCCCATAGCATCATGCAACCATCCCTTGGGCCTAAGCTTTAACTAGACTTCTTGAAGCATATTAAAATTGTCTATAAAACTTTGGTTCAAGAAATTTAAAATGTTGTCCATGCTATTTGGCCCCAAACTCATAGATTTCTGTATGTGTGTGTGGTGGTGGGGGGGGGGGGGGGGCTGAAGATTGTCCCTGAGCTAACATCTGAGCCAATCTTCCTCTATTTTATGTGGGATGCCTCCACAGCATGGCTTGATGAGCAGTGCTGGGTCCACACCTGTGATCCAGACCCATGAACCCTAGGCTGCCAAAGTGGAGCAAACGAACTTAACCACTGCACCGCTAGGCTGGCTCCCCAAACTCATAATTTTAACTACATATTGTGTGCCTGTAATGTGCCAGGCACTGTATCTATGGTGAATCTCTACCACAGCTCTGTCCGTCCAAGATCTGAACTGTGCTGACAAGAGGGGCCGGAATTCAAAACGATCTCTCTGATTCCAATATTGAGCTTAGTTTCACTGGGCTGTACTGAGACTGTAAACAAATTAAACTCAGTTTTGGAAGAGCATGGTGCGAATTTTACTTTTGGGGGGCAGGAAACAGTTTACAAATGTTGTGAAATTCCCTGTGTCAACTTTTTAGATGAAAATACCCCATCCTTTTCCTGAAAAACTGTTAAATGTTAATCAAAATGTTAAGTCGGGGGCTGGCCCCGTGGCCGAGTAGTTAGGTTTCCGCACTCCACTTGGGTGGCTCAGGGTTTCACCAGCTCAGGTCCTGGGCACGGACCTAGCACCGCTCCTCAGGCCACGCTGAGGTGGCATCCCGTATAACACAACCAGAGGCACTCACAACTAGAATATACAACTATGTACTGGGGGGCTTTTCAGAGAAGAAGAGAGAGAGAAAAATAAAGATTGGCAACAGATGTTAGCTCAGGTGCCAATCTTTAAGGAAAAAAAAATGTTAAGTGGTATGACTGTTAGCGCTGTGTCTGTCAGTTCACATTGGCCTTTACTGAATGTCAGAAGTTTGGGGCTTAGGAGATTTACTAACATCTTTTTATTTAGCAAGTTATTTCATTTATTTTAGTGAGATTAAAATTGATCTGAGCACATTTTAGTATTACTTTGCAGCAAAATATTAACCTATTATCTGCAAGCTTTATGACATCAAGTGACGTCCTACTATTAATCGTCCCTGCCTTTTCTCTCTGTGTGAAATTCCCCTTTACAGTCCACATGTCGCAATGCCTGTAGAGATGTGCTGTTCTGTCTGATCTGCTGGGATCTTTAGCACTGTAAAAATCATAGTTGACCTTAGAAATTCCTGGGAGCTGTGAGTACACTGTCTGATTTAATCCCTATAACTTCCCCAGCAAGTGGGCACTATTATTTCCACTGTTCTTCAGGTGGAGAAACAGAAGATTGCATGGGTCACACAGCAAGAGGGGCCAGGCCTGGGATGACAAGCATGCCTGCTGTTAGAAGGCGACTCTTCTGTGTTAAACCATCTAGAATACTGTCTCCTTGGAGTTGAGGCTGCCTCTTTGGACATTTCAACTAATTATTACACGAGGAAGCAATCAAGAAAGACCTCAACAGCTACGTACATTCGCATAAAATGTTTCATGTTTTATATGAGAAGGCCAGCCCCTCATACTCTCATTCTTAAATATTTAGTTGTCTGCTTCTCTAAACACATGCAAGATTACAGACCTCAAATTCAAGGATTGGAGGCAAAAGAGTTGCTAGAAGCAAGCACGCAGAAATAGTGACAAACAGGCCAAGAGATGTGTGACAGTGTGGGGGAAAGACAGAGACTCTATTAACAAAATGAAAGAAAAGGAAATAAAACAAGAGAGCTTGGCCTTTGACAGCAGAGTCCCCCCTGTCCTGTACACCTCTGCCCACCCTGTGCCTAGAACCGTGCCTCATGTGCAGTAGGGGGGTAGCACACCTGTTGACTCCGTGAAGGAATGAACGCATGTTGGCAGATACTGCAGAGCGGCGAGGCCTTTGGTGTGAAGAAAATTATTTCTCAAAGCATGTTCCTTGCAACTGCAGTTCCAAAGATTCTCCTAGGCAAAAGTAAAGGTTGTGTAGTCTAGTTAGTTTTATATATACACTTCCTATTATATTCCAGTCTTTATTTTTGACATGTAGATAGCTCTGATTTTTGCCATGCAAACAGCTCAGTTAAGAAATCTGTTTAACTTTGTTTAATCCCACGTTGTCCCAAAACTGTTTCTCATACAACAGCTGTGTTTTGAGGAATGAAGGAGTGCACACTCTGCGAGCACACATATGGGGCCAGCAGTTACACACCTTGCTGTTCTTGAGGGTGCTACTATTTTAGAGCCAGTACGAAAGTTTATTTATGCACTATGGACTTTATTTTGGAAGGCAAGAAAGTGTGACAAATTTTAAGATGATATTTGATAAGATAATGAAAAACGTGTTAAGTTTTGGTACTTAAAAATGTTAATATTTTAGAAATCTAGAAAAGTTCCTCCCCCGCGAGACTGACGTGTAGATTTCAGGGACTTCCTTGACTCCAGTTGCCAGTGAGGGGCCTGGTAGGAGATCCCAGGAGGGAAGCATGAGGCCAGGGTGTGCCCTCCCCTGCCTCCTCCCTGCCCAGGAGCTTCGGGTTGGCTGCCTCTCTTGACCAAGTCATTTTCTCCGTGGGGGTCTGCCTACATGACTCGCTCCTTCTGGGTTCCAGTAAAATTCCCTCCGCTTGTGCTTTCTGATCTACAGCCTCGCTGTTTCCATCTGAGATATTGCTCTCTCCTACGATTTCCCTGGGGCCAGCTCACACCTTTTTAAATACTTTTTTCACTTGAACCCTTCTTGAATTATCCTAATTGTGTACTTTTCATTTCCTGTATATTGTTTAGCTCCTTCTTGAACAATTGGTTATTTGAAACATGTCTATATAACTCTCTAATGTAGTTTTCAGTCATCTTAAGATAATTTTTGAAAACCGGATTAATATTATTTTATTTTAAACTATCTAAAGGAAAGAAACCTTTAAAGTAAAAGTTTTGCTAGACAGTTCAGAGTCAACTCTGACAGTGGATCGCAATAGTCAGATGCAGAAACTCTAGACAAAATTGCCCAAGTTTTAATTTGAGTTCTGTCTCTGTTAACTGTGTGACCTTGGGCAAGTCTTTAAGCTCTCAGGTTTTCAGTTTCTTTATGGGTAAAGGAAGGATAATAATAATAGGTAATCTAAGGATTGTTATGAAGATTTTAAAAGTTAATATTTGTAAAGCACTTAAACAATGTGGCGTCCACATTAGGTGCTAAGTGTTTACATGATAGACGGGATGGTTTCATTGAGTGCCTATTGTGTTGTAGGCAGTATGCCAAATACTCTTTCAAACTTTATCCCATTTAATTCTTGGAACAATCTTGTGAAGTAGATATTATAATATAATTAATTTAACAGAAGAAATTGAACTCCTGATTCCAAGACCATGAAATTGAAAGTCAAATAAGTAATTTGCCCCGTCCACATGGTAAGTAGTGAAGTTGAGATATGAAGGCAGATCGGAATCTTTTTATTAAATTACACACACGTACACACACACACACACACTGTTTATACACGTGTACACACAGACATATCTTTACGTACTGTATATAGTACTGAAAACACAATGTTTACATTTATAGAATACTTGCACCTGGCACGTCATCGATGTATTCATCATTGTTGGTTCTTCTTACTCCTGATACCAAGTCCACTGCTCTTTTCACTTTACCACATGGCCTTCCATCTTACATGTAAAAGAGAAAAAGGAACTTTCTGGAAATTCTGCGAGTATTAACTGGAGAGGAAAAGAATGTAACTTTTTTCTGCTGCCCAACCTCACTCCCCCGACAAGATAATGAAAACGTTAAATTAACAACATACTTGAAAAGATACAAAATTTGGATTTCCTCAAACGTACTAAGCTGTTAACTTGGAAAACCATGGAGGGTTGTGATTGCTGCGGTGGATGCATCCCAGGCAAGATCAGAGGTTATCGGGAGACCAGCGAGACATCACAGTAAAGAGCTCTGCCTGTTCTCAGAGGAACTGATGGATGACGTGCGAGCTGCCACTGCAATGCTTTTGAATGTTCTATGTGGATGTCACAAACGTTTGAAATTTTGTCAGTTGGTCAAATGGCATTGAGACAATAAATCTTCGTTAAATCACCATTCACTTAAAACATTATCTGATTTTATACAAAGATGATTAGAACTTCAATGAGAAGGAGCCTTTTCTAAACACCATTGTAAATTTTATCCTTACCACTGTTATGCCCGTCTTCCTTGCTAAATTTGAAAATATCTTTTGAGTTAAGGATTTTTAAATTCTAAATATTACCCTATTGTGTTAATTCCCAAAGGATTTAACTGACTTACAAATGTCATATAGCTTGTTCGTGGCAGAGACTGGATTTAAATAAAGTTCTTTCTATCTCCCAAACCCATGTGCTTTCTTCTGTACCATTGCCTCCAGCGTCAGATGTGCATATGTATTTTTTCTTTTTAATTCTATAAGAGTGACTAGCTCACAAATCTGTAAGTTTTGTGGTTGAACATCTAGAGTAGTATTTATTAGACAAAAGTTATAAATTTCACTATTTATTAGCCACTTCTGCCCTTCCCTTTAGAATAGACTATCTATCTATCTATCTATCTATCTATCTATCTATCCATCTAAGTATCTATCATTTATCTACCTATCTCCATCTCTAAAGATTTGCCTGTAGTCTAGAGGCTCATAAATGATTTGGTAAGGTGGCATCTTCCTTTTCCCCCTTTTGTAATATTAGGAGCACTTTTCTGCTTAATAAACAGAAGAAAAAAGAAAAGTCAGTTTTGTTTTATAGCATCTAAGTTATCTCACTGAAAAATGCCTTTGGAATCCACATTTTATTTTATTTTGTTTTCAGTTTCTTGACTAAATGTGTTTATTCCAACTTCAGGAATAGCAATATTAGTAGCGAAGCTCTTTTACTGTTTGACTTCTGCCTTTGTTTTAATTGGCCTTTTTTTAAACCAAAATCAATATGTATAATATCTTTCATTCCATACAGTTACTATTGACACTTTTTAATATTTATTAGTATCACTATGTTATATGGATATCTTGTTACCTTTTTTTTTTTCTGGGAATAGGGGCTGATTCAACTACGTTTCCAAAAGAAATCGATGATTGATTCAGCTTCTGGACCCATAGGATTCTTGAATAGTGGAGAGAAAACTCTTCATCTGTTCTCTTCCCAATTCTCCCCAGGAGCAGGATCTCTGACCTCCAGGCTGGAGCCTTCCTGGCCATCTTCAAGTCTAACTTTAAGTGCTGACAGAATTATATAGTACTTGCCAAAGCTATGTGAATTTATGGACTAACAAGTCATTTGTCACAAACCGGAGGTAAGTGAGATCCTGAGTTGGGGGAAGGCAGGAGCCCTTGCTCCTGTGACCCATGACCCGGACGCTGGTTGGACTAATTCCAGTCATGCATACTGGGTAGTTTCTGTAGTCAGCCTGGACCTTCTGCTCAGTTCCAATGGGCAGCCTTATCCTTTTGGGGGATAAAACCATTTGGTAATTTCTCCGTGATAAGCTTAGCATTTTATGGTGAGGAAAGTACCAAGTTTTCTTATCACTTTCTTATTATACACTGTTTTTTTTAGAATGTTATATTATATACTCCGTTTCTTTTAGGATTATTTCTCTCGTTCCCAGAGACCCTGTCTTACCTTGAGATATTTAGTTCATTTTTGGAAAGTCAGAAAGTACTTCTGAGGAATGATTTTATTAGAAGGGCTAACCATTTGATCCAACCTCTAAAGAATGTGGCAGCAAAAGATGTTTCTTGTAGGAAGAAGGACACTATATAAACGAACCCATCCACATTAGGTGAAACATTTCACAACATTACTTTTCAAATAACAAACAGCTAATTGTCGGCAAATTTCTATGTCAAATGTATAAACAATTAGCCAAATATTGGAGTCTTGGAGAGTGAAAGAAATTACTTGGATCAGAAAGAGTTCAGGCTGGGAACATGTAAGAATTTTAATGACAGTCACCCTCACAACAGTTGGGGGAATACTTGCTGCTATTGCCAGGTGCTGTTGCTCTTCATCCAAGCAGAACAGTATGGTGTTTAAGTGGGTGGACTCAAGACGCAGGTCGTCTGGATTTGGATCCTAGCTGTGTCACCTGAAAGCCATGTGCCCTTGGATAAGTTATTTAGCCTCCCTGTAACTCAGTTTCCCCTCCCTGTGACTGAGTCACAATAAGGAGTAGTAATATTACCTACCTCAGAAGAATGTCATAAAGATTAAATTAGTTGTTATAAAGTACTTAGGACTAACTCGCACACAAAATAAGTGAGTGTAAATGTCTGTTAGGTTAATACCATGCTATCAATCTATTTACAATGTTAATGAGTCTGCTGTGTTCAAAGATACTGTACTACAGGATGGTCCCTGCCTATAAGGGATGTTTAGTGAGGGAAAACTGATGCCATTCAGTATGGAAAAGTGGAAGCTGGATATATGCTTTCAAAAATAATGATGTAAAATTCTAAACTTGAATTGATTTTATTTTAGCTAGAAAATATTAAAGTGGTTACTTTTTATTGTTGACTCCCTAAGGGCAGAGACCGCCCATAATATATATATATACAATATGTATAAATACTTCACAAGGCATAGCAGAGGGGGAGACACAAGGGTAAGGGCTAATCAAAGTAAATTAAAATTTACTCATATAGATAAGAAGCTACTTTATATTACCTTATAATTAGGGTAAATGCAGCCCTTTTAACACAGACCTGACCCTCGCATCTCAAATATCTCCATTTGCTGAACTGCTCATGTCAGACCGCCATGATCATTCATGTTACAGAGAACTTGTTACAAACGAAAACCAAAATGCTATATTTACACTGTCTAGAATTAGAATAAAATTAAACAATTTATACGTGAGTCATATTTAAACAATCTATATTTATAAAATAATATCTTAGGAATTACAATTCTACCAAAATTCAATATAAGCAACTGCATATTCACTTAACTAGCAGCAATAACACGAAAAGAGAAAAATTTCAAGATAATTTTAAAAGAGAGACAAAATAAACTTAAAATGGAAGCAATTTATTCTTAAGACTCACACTTAATAGTCTACATTTGTAAAATATTACCTGAATTTTAATTCTATCAAGCTTCCATTTGAGTAATGGTATGATCACTTAACAGCAATGAAGCTAAAAGATAGAAAATGCAAAATTTCTTTAGAAAAGAAGCCAAAGAATTTTGCTGTGGTTCAGGCTCTTCAGAGGTAGGTTCATTGGAGGGCTGAATTCTTCTGCTTTCAGGATATGAGGAGAGGGGAAATACCCAGTGCTTGGTGTAGAGACATTTCTCCTTGCTAACAGAAGATGTGTTAGGCCGGGGGCATCTCTCGATGATGAGTATTCTTTGGGACGTCCATACTTGTCATACACGAACTGCCCCTGGAACTCTGCTTCAACATCTGACTGGAGGATATGGTAGAGGAAGAAAGGCTGAACCTGAATCAGGTGTACATAGGTGGCCAAGATCATTTTGAGTGTCATTTCTCCTCGATTCCATCTTTGAAATGCACAAATCCTAACAGAAGAAGACAGTAAATTTTTAAGTTCTGATGGTCCAGAGAAAGTTTTCCAAGTTAGACAGTATAGGATAAATTGCATATGGCTCTTGTTCAGAAATTATTGGAAAAGTATAATGATGATGGAGGGAACACACTATGATTTTGATGCCATAGAAGTGACATTTGGTCCACAGAGGATACATTCAGACACTCGATCCCTCAGCCATCACAGCTTGATGGTGACCTGATAATCCAGAAGATGCTTTGGGGGTCCTCTCAGACCTTTGACATATGCCTCACTTTAAACATTGGGGCATAAAGAGGTCCTTTCCACTTAAAAGATTAAATGAATCTCTGCCTCATTGAGTTTTCCCTTCTGTCATATGTATTTTCTTTTAAATTCGTTGAGTTTTCTCTCAGCCAATAGAATTTTCTACCAGTTATTATGAGCTTTATTTCTCCTGGGACATCCTTTGGCTTTAATAAGAACACATGCTTCTTCCTGCTTTTCCTGCAAGAAGTTTTGCTTGTAGGTGTGCAGCTGTTCACAATTATGGCTGATTGTTTCATCTGCTTTGGACAGTTTCTCCTCCATCAAGTGGTAAATTCTCTATTAAATGAATATTCCAGCATATTTTACTTCATTTTCTCAATGAAGGTCAGAAGGGACTGAGTCTTTGGTGAAGATTTCAAATATCGCGTTCAACACACTGCATTTTCTGTCTTCAGTGAAGTCAGTTTTAAAATTTTTAAATTCTCAGTTTAGAAAATTTTATTATGATCTGTAAATCCCTTGTGTAGAATAGAAATGTGCTTGAGAAGGTGAAAACTTTGCAAGAAAATAATTTTAGTAAATGCCGATTTTTCAAAGAGAAACTTTGGAATTTGTGGAGCCTTTCTAAATCAGCTTTTTTTTTCCCCCATGAAGACCTTTTACATAAATATTGCTGAACATTCTTTCTTAAATGTAAACAGGGCTTGGATCATTTTTTTCAATGTCTGCTGGTATAAACATTGTCCATGGTTATTAAAATATTTTTAGCATCACAATGCAACTTAAGTATGTGACTTTATCCTCCTGGCTTTGGCACCTGCAGGAAATACGTGAGTTTCCTTTTCGGTATGTGTAATATGAAATATACCTGCCATTGCACGACAGGCAGAAAGTCACCAACTTAAGTCCATAGTTCTTTCTTCCTACTTTGCAAAGCAATTGATCATTAGGGAATTAATCTCAAATGATTTAAGTTTATATGCCTTTGTGAAATAGTTCTGTGTGTGAGTGAGTGTATTTGAGGAAGGCCTTTAATGTCTTTGTTATTGATCTTACTGTCCATTGATCTGCTTATTCACATAGTGGCGGTCTTATTATCTATTGCTACATCTGCTGTGAAAACCCAAATAGTATTGCTTATCAGAGCCTGGAATTGCCATGAGAGTAACTTCTTGTTTCTCTTCAAATATGATGAAAGATGGCAACAATAAAATAGTCTTGTAAAATGATCTTTTATTCTACTGTATTTCATTATGGGAAAGAAAAATTTTAAAGGCATTTTTCAAAAGCCTATATTTCACCTAAATAAATCCTTCTATTCAAAGATATGTGTATACAGCATATGTATTTATGTATAAGCAGAATTTTTGTTTATGTCTGTGTATACAATATCCTTACCTCTTTTCATTATAGGATAGAATGCAAAGCTAGGCAGTCCTCTCAAAGGGGATTATCTTTTAACATATTTGAGTCAATTTTAAGAAAATCAACCACAAAACTTGATTAAATTACCAACTTTATTTGATTTTGTTTATTTTTAATGAATTCTTTTGTGATTTTTGTCTGGATAAAATTCAGGCTATACATTGTACCTTTTGGAACACACCCATCAACAAATTGCAAACTTCTGTAACTTCCACCATTTTGAAGTTATCTTCTTTTGTTAAACTTTTTACAAAATCACACACAAAAACATCAAGAAAATATCATCTAACATGCACTCCATGTAACTTTTGCACTTATGTTTGTTAATGCTAATAGATCTGGGGACAAATAGATTCCCTGTATAAACCTAGATATTTTTATTAAAAACTTGTGTTTCTGTAAGCTTGAGGTCTTATCTGCTTACTCACCACTCTGTTCCCAGACTCTGGAATAATGCAGACGAATAGAAGAAGAATAAATACTAGGCTTTCATAAAATCACACGAATGGGTGGACTTTTGAGTTGTCATTGTATGTCAACATCATACACATCTATTGTTGAACAGTATTTTATGCTTACCATGTGCCTTTGTGTACAAGACAGTCCTTATAAAAAACATATGAGATACGAAAATAAAGATGCTCAGAATGTGTCTATTTTACTGGTGAGAAAGTTAACAGATGGCACAATGAGGCCAGAACTTCTGAGCCGTGATTCACCACACTCTTCATTCTACTGCCTCTCAACAGATATCTGCTCCAGCCAATAATCATGAGGACCGTAACAGCTATATTTCCAGGGAGATGTGTTGTTGGCATTTGGTTTATGGTATATTCCAAAATATAGTCATCCTCAATGATCGATAATTTACTTTATAATTTAACCAAATTATTTGACTGAAATTTAAGTCCATTTCTCCATAAGAGGACTCAGGCATTATGACAGAAAGTGAGTTATATTTTTTATGTAATAATCTTTTATATATTTGAAAGATTTACAAGTAATTTCTGAGCCTTTTCTAACTTCTGTAGTATTTTTTTATAGGACTTTCATTCCTTTCTTGTAGTAATTTTTATTCCATTCAATTAGCTATCTTTTGTCTCTCTGCTCTACCTTCAGTATGTTATCTCCAATTCACTTTATATACTTCTTTCAAACTTCATTTAGTGCTATTTCATATTCACAATTTTAATTAACTTTCTATAGCATGTAGAAATACATGCTTAGCCTAGTGCTCAAAACCTTAAATGAGCTAATCCAACCTACCATTGCAACCTTATTTTTCTCTATTCTTGTTGATGACTTTCATATAACTGAGCTTCGGCCTGAAGCAGCATGGACTTATGAAATTGTGGTTTTATCATTTAAGATGTTGACTATTGAGTAAGCATCCTCAAAGATCAGTGGCACCTCATCATTTTTTATTTCATTGAGGCCTGTATTTGTACTGTGAGAGTTATAAGCTAGCGTGAATGTGAAAACAGCACCCAAAACAAAACGCTATTTTGTATCCATTCTACCCGAGTATAGTGTGGGGCTTGCAAACTTTTGGTCCCAGTACTCCTTTACACCCTTAAAAGTTGTTGAGGCTCCCAAGGAGCATATATTTAAGTGGATTATATCTGTAGATACTTACTGTAGAAGAAATTAAAACTGAGGTCTTTAAAACTATTAATTCATTTAAATTAACAACAAACCTATTATATGTTAACGTGAATACATACTTTCATGAAAAATAACCATTTTTCTAAAACAAAAAATAATTAGTGAGGAGAGGGACGCTGTTGCACATATTTGCAAGTCTCTTTAATGTTTTGCTTGGTAGAAGATTGCTGGATCCCCACATCTATCTGTACTCAGCCTTTTCCATGTCATTCAACAGGTAGCCTTTGGGAAACTCTACTGCACACTTATGAAAGAATGAGAGTGAAAAAGGCAAATAACTCCTGGATATTTGATGAATGTTGTTTTGATTTTATAGTCTCCCTTAAAGCGTCTCAGACCCTCCCTGGACGGTCTTTGGAACCTATCTTGAGAAACACTAGTGTAGTGAGCAAGAGCTTAGCTTTGAAGCCCCACTCCCTGTGTGTGTAGCGACACTTCACCTCCTAGCTTCGTGATCCTGGGCAAGTTATTAAACTTCTTGTGCCTCAGTGTGCTCCTCTCTAAAATGGAATTAATAATGATATCTATCTCTTAGAGATGTTTTGAGGATTAAATAAATTAATACTGATTTGCAATCACCACAGTGTCTAACGCTGGGAATAGTCAGTTTTGTGAGTAAGGAAAATGCATTTTTCTCTACCTCCCTCTGTCCTTGGTTTTTTAATGTCTTTTCTTATCCAAAGTAATATTTATTTTTTTAAAGAGAGAAAAGAATGGAATATATTTTAGTTTGATCAAGGTTTTTGGCAGTGTTAATCCTTCTATATTCAAGTACAGCTAAATTATCCATAGGGATTTCAATCTGTACCTGAAAAAAATAAAAGCGAGTTCCAGACTTTTTTATTACCCGCTCAAGTTCTATTCATTCCTTTCGTATTCACCAGTCTTCCTTTTCCTTCAGCAACCTATCGGCTAAACTAGATTAAGAGAACACAAGCAAGTCTAGGATGAATTCATTCATTCTTTCATTCATTCATTCATTCATTTACCACAAACTTATCGTGCCTATGTCAGGCTTTCTGCTAAGCTCTGGTATGCAGTCTTATAATCTAGCGGAAAAGGACATACATTAAACTAGCCAACAAGAAAAATAAATGTATGAATAAAAACTGTGAGAAGTGCTTGAAATACTCTTTCTCGTTGCTTTTTATGCTTTGGATATTATTGGATAACTATTGTTAGTTAAGATACAATTGACATATATGAGTTATAGGTGGACAACATAATGATTCAATATATGTACATATTGCCAAATGATCACCCCAGTAAGTCTGGTTAACATCCATCACCACACATGGTTACAAAATTTTTTTTCTTGTGATGAGAGCTTTTAAGATCTATTCTCTTAGCAACTTACAAATATGCAATACAGTATTATTAACTATAGTCACCATGCTGTACATTACATCCCCAGGACTTATTTATTTTATAATTGGAAGTTTGTACCTTCTGACCACCTTCACCCATTTCACCCATCTCCCACCCCTCCCTGCCCCTGGCAACTGCTAATCTGCTCTCTGTAACTATGATTTCTGTTTATATAGATTCCACAGATAAGTGAGATCATATGATATTTGTCTTACTCTATCTGACTTATTTCACTCAATGCAGTTGCCTCTGAGTCCATCTACAGGGTCGAAAATGGCAGGATTTACTTCTTTTTTATGGCTGTATAATATTCTATTGTATATATACTGCATTTTCTTTTAGATATTATTTTTATCACATATTATGTGCCTATACTTTTATTAATATTTTAACCTTCACTTTGCCATCTGTAAAATAAACAGTAAGAAATTATTGTGTAGAAAAGAGAAACCATGGAAGGAGCACTAGCTGATCTGGGTTCTGGTTTCAGCTTTGGCACTAATTAGCAATATGGTTTGAATAAGAAATTAAAATTTTACTCTCAGTTTTCTAAATTGCAAAAGTAGACAGCTGTCTAAAATCCCAGAACAAATATTCTCTTTGTTATTCTAAGAATAAGTATATCTTTACATTAATTTTCACATGTTTAAATGCTGGAATTATCATTCTATTGGAGCATTTTTATGTTGTTGCATCTATTTCTTTCGACCTATCAATCCACGATACTACAAGTCTCTTGAAGGCAGACTCCCGAGCGCCCTTCATCTTGTGTTCCCGGATACTCAATCCCTGTTTTGTTGAACATTGAAAGTATTTTTAAACTATCTTTGCGATGGCTCATATTCCAAGATGGCTTTTCATTGTATTTCCTGGCTTGCCCAATTGAAAACAGGACTGAAACTTTTTTCTGGGTACAGTGAAAAGAATAATGAGTGTTTTTACAAAGGTAAACTTTTATCGAACAAGGGCTACGCTTGGTTGGTCTTTTCACATGTGGAACAATTGTCATGTCTTTAATTTTGTGTCCAGCAGATGGCACCATTACCTCAAATAAACTCCCATCCTAGGAAAAAACGGTAGAAGATAATGCACACATTTAAAACTAAGAAGATGTCGTTAATATCCAAGAGAACATAACACAAATATTCAGACCTATACAGTTAATGCAAAGGGAAATGGTTTAAGAAGTGTTTATCTTTTTGAAAAATTTCTCCAAATTTTCAGTTTGTAATTCTTTGCAACCACTCCAGGAAATAAAGACTAGATAGAAAGAAACAAATAAACACAAACTGGGAGGTTATTTCAGCAGGAAAGGCTCCTTCAAGGTCAGGAGATGTTCCAAGATGCTTTTGGCTGCATCCTCACTCCACAATTTATAAAAATAATCATGAAAGGAATACAAATCATCAATTACCCCTTTTCCTAAGTTGTCCCTTGTCTTTGTTATACTTTGGTAGCTCACACTATTGAGAACTCTGAAACAGCCGTGCATTAGGCATTGCTGAAAATTAGAGAAGAAAAACAAGGACACGCTGATACTTCCTAAATTTAACTTGAGAAAATTAATGTTCAAAGTTTTCTTGGCATTGAAAGCCTTGATTCATAATCATAACATCCTCCTTCCTGAAAATTGTTATGTTCCTTTTCCCAATGGAGCGATCAACAGTTTTTCTTTCCTTTTAAAATCTGAAGTGAACAAATATTTACTCACAATTTCTTGAAATGTCAATTGTTTTTCTTTGATTTTTCAAAAATCTCCTTACTGCCTTTCTTTTTTATTATGTGAAACTAGACTATCTGAGATGTTAACTATTTATAACATTTAACTATGATAGGTTCACCATTCTTCTAGTCAATTTTCCAAACAATGGATTTTATTAGCTGATTAAAATTAACTAATATGAAAGAAAATAGGATTTCTTGATATATTATGAGTAGTATGATAGTATATTATATTAATATATTGTAATAACTTCTCATTTTATTCAATTAGGTCAAATTAATGACTTGGGGAAAGCACATAAACGTTATTTATTTTCCCTTAAATAGATCTGGAATACAGCATCCCTACTTAAGAGATTTAAGAATTACCCTCAGAAGCTATTTATATAGAGAGATTTTTATCATTCTAGCATGCTTTCAATGAAATAATTAATAAGGATTAACATCTAAAAAGTATAAGAGTGGAAATGACAGCAATTTGCTAATTTTTAAATTCTGTAATTTAATAATGATGTTCAAAGAAAGGAATAAAATGCTCTAGTCTCAAAAGTGTAGCCAGTCATGACCTCCCTAAAATTTCCAAGAGATCAACTCTTCCTGCTCACCCGCCGACCCACTCACCCCCTTCCACTTCCATGTCTGGAACCATCATCTTGAGTAAATAAAGAACAGAGGGAAGAAAAGTCAAGAATGAGGGCCTTGGCATAGGACAAGGAACCATGCAATCTTATCTTGAAAATTCCATCAAAATAGACTGGGGATCTCTGTGGTCATCAGTGTGCAGCGTAGTTACAGGATTGAGGTTTCTTTAATCATTTCATAGTCATCCGAGGAGGGGTTTACTGGTGAGAGGTGTTTTAAAGCAGTTTGGTCTCTCTTTTGATACTAGGTACTCTGTCAGACTCATCCATGTCAGTGTATGTGCTTTATATTTTCCTTCGGAATCTTACGTTTTCCTGATGATTTTTTTCAGCGTTGATTTGTTCTGAAAATAAACGCATCCTCCTGGGTCCAGTGCTTTAGAGAATCAGCATGGAGCTCATAGAAAAAGAGAACTTTCCTGTCTTCTGCCTTCTACTCTTCTATGAGTGTTCAATGGTAAATGTAAAGTGGTGGGAATTCAGTGCGTCTGCCACATGCGAGCAGTTACCTGGAGGGGGAGCAGGTAGAGGAAGACGCCGGAAAGAGCACTGGGAAATGTGGGGAGAGCCTAGACAAATTTTGTGGGCCAAAGAGAATTCTGGTGGTTGACGTGTTTTCTCAAACGATTTTAAAAGTTAATTCACATTGCTCCTGGGAGTAAATTCTACCCTCGTTTCATCTCCTCCTCAGATGTCTTAAAAATTATTTTTCTTTCTTCCCCTGTCACTGATCTGTGATGAAGCAATAGTAAGGCTTTTATGATTTTACGAATAATGTGGTAACGATAGGAACTAAGGTTGTTTTTACATTTCTGGTTTTAAAAAGCAAGTAAGTTATTTCAACACAGAGGACTTACTTTAAAATAATAATTGAAAAAACCTTATATCTGGGATATGCCACATTTGATTAAAAATCTTAGCCTGTAAATAAAAATCTGGTCCATTTAAATGTATCTTGCTTAGAGGCGCATGCCTTCAAATGGGGCTGTTTTGTAGTTCACCTTGTATTTCACTGCTTGCGAACTCTGTGAGCAAACAGTTTGTTCACAGGGTGAAACACATATTTATGGTCCTGAATAAACTGCTCAGATTCAAAAACTATTTGTGTGACAGTGCTAGACACAGGAATTCTGAAGCCAAATGGGATGTTTGTAGCCTCCATTTGCATATCAATGCCCAGGCTCCCCTTTAGGAATACTGCTGCTTCATGACAATGCTGTTGTCTGAGGTCTGGGGGAAAGAAAACCCATAAAAGTTGGGACTCACTTTTCAATGCCCTCGATTCTTTTCTTGTGCTTTGGAAAACTGTGAAACAGGGTCACCAAGTTCCATTCTGCATAGTTTTATTATGTTTTCAATGAAGCGATTGAACCTGCACAGAACCCAGACGGACAGACATCACAAGGCCACTTTGTGGAAAGGCAGCCTAGCTTCTTTAGAACGTTGACGCTGAAGCTCCTCTCCTGTGTTTCAGGGGTTTGGGGCCGGTGCACTGCTCCCTTAGTTTAAAGAACCAAAACCCTTAGGCAAAATACTTAGAACCCTTTTGCCTGGAGAAAAAGTACAAAATAAAGGGTTCTTTCAGCTATAGAAAACCCAACCTAAGAATGTAATAGTTATTTGAAAACCAGGCCATGGATACTGAGGAATTTTATAAGGCGATCTCATTTTCTACCTGGCTGCCAACCCGATGCCTGTCAGTCCTTATGTTTGAAATGGAATCACACAGAATCTGTTCACAGTTTTGCTGAAGTTTGGTTTGGAGAAAGTTATTTCTTACTTTTTTTCTGTCTGACAACCCTGTTGTCTTCTTGATGGGAATTTTAGTAGAAAGTTTTACCTTATATTTTAGAATGAGGTCGATTTAGTTAATTGCAAAGCTCTAAAGAAACATAGATAAAAAGAAGGGGTGTTTCCGTATTATCGCCTTTACCACTATGGCACATTTGAGAACACCCTGTGAGAGACCTCACGTGTCAAGCTCAGCAGTCTCTCTTCTTCGCAGTTTGACTTGTGATATGTTTTTCCACACGACTACACTGTATTGTGTTGTAAAAAATTCTTTTTCAAACCCACTCCCTTTTAACTACCACGCGTATTGTTTTGCTTTTCGGTTTTGTCATTAATTTACTCTTTCTATGTAATCCAGACATAGTTCTCCTGAATATTCTTTCATAGCTGTCTCAAGAATGACTTACACCCGATAAAATTGCTTTGAATGTAGGTAGTGCTGGGTTAACAGTATTTCAATTGCTTTGTGCAGAGCTCTGAACAATTTCCTGATTCACCGCCTGTTAACTATCTTCCTCCTTCTTCTCAGCTTCCGAGGAAGAAAACCAAAAGTCTATTTGATGAAAGAAGCTCTTCTGATCATTGGTCACTTGGTGATCTGGTACTAAAGCAATGTCATCGCCCTTGTGGAGAACATCAGTGGCTTCACTATCCTTGATTTTTACATAAAATTGCTATTACAGACCCTTTTCTGTTTTCTTATATTCTTGTCTGGTATCGCCCTGCTCTTCCACCGCCTCCCAAATTGTACCTACAACCCTATTCCTTTCTTTCTAATTTGGTTTTCTCAGTGTTTTCAACTGCCTTTAGGTCTTCACTACTATAATTATGTAGATAACTCCAAAAATGACCCGAATTCCATTTCAATAGCTAAGTCCTCCATTTCATATTTCCATTTGTAGCTATACTTATTACAAACTTGATAAGTCTAAAACTAAATACTGTAGATTATTTTCCTGTGGTGGTTTTATTTTCCTATGTCCAAAAATTCGTTGGCACTCTTCTCTTCAAAAGAATGTGTGCTGAGTTTAATAATCCCTTCTAATGAATAGAATGTGGTAGAAGTGACGTGTGACTTCTGAGGCTACATCATAAAAGGCTTCTTTGTCACTCACTCCGGGAGAAACTAGCCACCATGATGTGAGGACAGTCTTTATACACCATGTGGAGAGGAGCGTGCCGGCCATGTGTATCTTGGAAATGGGTCTTCCAGCTTCAGTCAAGCCTTTAGATGGCAGCCGCAGCTGACGTCTGTCTGACTGACTGCAACCACATGGGAGACCCTGAGCCAGAATCACCAAGCTAAATTGTACATGAGTTTCCAGCTTACAGAAACGGTCTGAGATTCTAAATATTGTTATTTTATGTCACAGACTTTTGGGGTAATTGGTTATGTAGCAATAGATAGCGATTCCACCGCTCTTCCAACATTCACCTCTTTTCCTGTATCTGAAGAAATTTTAAGTCTCGTGGCTTCTTACTTTGAAGTGATCTTGGTATCTGACCCTTCCTAGAGACATGATTGCCAAGTTACCCGCAATTTAGCTCAGATTCTCACCTTCCAGATGGCTGAAATGTTTAGCCTCTTAACCAGCCTCCCCGATTCTCTTCTTTCAGTCTCCATAATGTACCTATAGAAGATTATTTTTATCCGAAACACATGGATGCCATTCATTTCCTTTGCTCAAAAAGACTTTAGAGTTTTCCCTTATGCCTTCAAGATAAAACATTGTATTTGTTAGTGTAGTATATTATATTCTTGTTCAAGACTATTCACTCCTCCTCCTTTCCCTTGATTTTGCCTTGATCTCATTTTGTGACTTGCTTTGACCTTGTGGCGGGTGGAGTGCCCTCCCACCCTTTGATATTGGGCTTGGCCATGTGACTCACTTTGGCAATAAAGTCATAGCAGACAAGATACAGAAGCGTGAAATACACTTAGCTATTGGGCTTGCCAAATTGCACTTCTGCCATTCTTGCAAGAGGCACATGGCTCAGCTAGACTGCTGGTCCAGGGAGGATGAAAGAAATGTGAAGCGTACGTGAGCCCAACACAGCCAGACCAGTAGCTCGAGGCACGGTTACCTACCCATGCCCAGTCTAGGTCAGTCAATGGCCAGCCAACCCAGTGCCAATAAACAATTGTTGTTTTAAGCCACTGAGTTTTTGGAGTGGTTTATCATGCAGTAAACTCTGTTACCTTAACTCCATCTTATGTTTTCAACATATCATTTTTTCTGTTCAACGTAACTCCATTACTCCCTGTCTGTTCTGTGTTCACTAAACACACTTGCCCCGTCCCATTGACACAACTTTTCCATTTTTACACCTATCCTTTAAGGTCCTTTACTGATAACTAATATTTATTAAGTTACGAGTAACATTAAGCTGTTATATTATCACTTTTATGATAGCCGATAGAATATTATTATTTTCACTTTAAAGATAGGAAAGCTGCAGCTTAAAAAGATTTTAAAACTTGTCCAAATTCACGTGGTAAGTAAATCAAGAACAAGATTTGAACTCGAGGCTTTGTGATGAAAAAATCAATTACTGATAACTAAGATTATATATTCCTGTTTCAGCCCCAGTGCCTTCTTTCTGACAACTCCAGTCCGTAGATATGCTAACTGTTTTCAACTCCAAATGCACTTAACATTCCCAGCACTAATCATTTTCGTAGTCATATTGAGATTTTTCTTCAGCATTATAGTTAACATTGCACACTGCAAACTTTTATTCTATTCAACCCTTGCAACTTCTTTTTGAAGAATGCGTAATTATTTTCTCCATGAGAAAAAGGGGAATCAAGGGTTGAACAATTTGGTCTGGGTCATTTAGCTCTATATGGTGGAGCTGAAAGAGAGCTGTTATGGGCTGAATCGCATGCCCCCCAAATTCAAATGTTGAAGGCCTAACCCTCAATGTGATGGTACTTGGACACGGGGCCTTTTGTGAGGTCATTAAGGTTAATAAGGTCATAAGGGTGGGGCCCTAATCCCCCAGGACTGGTGTCCGTATAAGAAGAGGAAGAGACACCAGAGAGTCTCTGTGTGTGCAGAGGAAAGGCATGTGAGGACACTGGGAAAAGGTGGCTGTCTCTAAGCCAAGAAGAGCGGTCCCACCAGAAACCAACCCTGCTGTCACCTTGATCTTGGACTTCGAGCCTCCAGAACTGCAAGAAAATCAATTTCTGTTGTTTAAGCCCCCAAGTCTGTGATATTTTGTTTTGGCAGCCAAGCAGACTAATGCAAGAGCTAAGCTTTTTACTCCCAGTGTCTTTGTCCTTAGCTTCTTACTTCTGTTCCACACTATGTTTGTCATTAACTATCTGAGGACAGTGACAATATCCTTGTTTCCCGCACCTTATATTATTTGTAGAGTAGATCCTTAAATATGTCATAGGCTCACAGCAGGTTTAAAAGTGGAAAAGTCTAAAATGTCAATGTCTCTTGCTTTAAAGCTGAACAGCTCAGATCCAGTGAGTTCCTAAGACTTGGCCAAGAAGGCTCTGCAGTTAGTGAAGCACAGAGACTCGAATCCAGGACCCACCTCCAGCCCCTGGGATACAGGTTTTCATTACTTCACTGGAGGACACAGAAATTGAATGCGTCACTCTCACTGCTATTACCATCTCTTATTTTATTTTATTTTTTTTGAGAAAGATTAGCCCTGAGCTAACATCTGCCACCAATGCTCCTCTTTTTTTCTTTTTTTGCTGAGGAAGATTGGCCCTGAGCTAACATCCATGCCTATCTTCCTCTACTTTATATGTGGGATGCCTGCCACAGCATGGCTTGATAAGCGGTGTGTATGTCTGTACCTGGGATCCAAACCAGGAAACCCCAGGCTGCTGAAGCGGAGCGTGCAAACTTAACTACTGTGCCACCGGACCAGCCTATACCATCTCTTATTTTTAACAATATTACCTGAACTCCATATGCCCAAACTCCATAGAAATGAACAATTGAAACTAGATCCTAATTAGAATAAGAAAGATTGATACCATATGATATACCAAAAAGAAAATAGAAATCCAGTATTCTCAAGGAATGTGACAAAGCAAATATATTTAGCAAACATATTCTTTTGTTTCTTATTGACTTATTAAGTGAAAAATTTTAAAATGTTATATTTGTGTGTGAGAGTGAAAAAATGTAAACATATTCTTGTGGTTAACCTAATTGTTGTTGTCTTTATTTTCCAGAAGGAAAACTCAAACTCAGGGGCTCAAGGACATGTCAAAGGCACAGACATATGTTCCTGCATTGATCAAATCAGGCTGTGCAGGTGGTTCGCTGCTCTGTGGTAGGTGTAAATGACTGGAGTTGGAACGGAAACTATCAAAACTAACCCCATAAAAATGATGAGAGGATCTTTTGCTATTATCAAGAGCTATTTTAAATGCTAAATCAAAAGGATGCCAACTGGTGGCCTTGTTGCTAGTCTCAGTAGAGAAGGAAATGATTAAATTAACATGAAGCTTCAAATCCATTCCCACTCGGTGGAGAGGTCTGAAATTGATCCTCGTGGTAGCGTGTGAGAACTTGCACAGCTGTGGCTGGCGGTGCTTTTGTCTAATGGATAAACAACACTCACTAGTTGATAGTGCTGTCTCTCATTTTTACTCAGTTTTCCATCCCAAATTTAGACCAATGTGTTAGATCACAAAATTTCAGGCTCTTTTTGCCTTATTTCAAAGGTGAATGCGAATCATGTGGATGTAAAATCACCCAAAACTCGGTCTGCAGAAAGGTGGCCTGGTGTGGTGGAAGGGGCATGAGAAGGGGACGCCGAGGGCTAGGATCCAGCCAAGTTGTGTCCCTTGGTACTTTCTGTGGCCCGTAAAGAGTCCCTTAGCTTTATGGAGCCTGTTTTCCTCATCTGGACGCTGTTCATAATGAAGTCCTTGCTTACTTCAGAGCAATGGGGTGAAAGCAAACTAAGAATATCGTTCGCATTGGTATGATCCTTTGTAGTTCACAAAATCCTGACTGCTTTTGCTTCTCATAAAAAATGCAATAGTTAAGAAATGCAGTAATTTATTTTTTCAATTTCAGTGATAGGCTCAGAGGTTTTATGTGCTCAAGGTAAGGAATTGAGAATAGAGGCTCCTTGTCCTACTTGTTAGATCACGCTCTCTGGCTAAAAGTGCACATGAGTGCTGTGCATGTGACGGGGAAGTGTTAGGCCATGACATCTCTGATTTTTAAAATAGTCTGTTGACAATCTAAATAATAATATTGGACTTAATTTTAAGAGTATGTAATGTAACTTATGTTTTTACTTACTCCAATTTTGGTGTGGGTAGGTTACTGAATTTCTGTTTCATTTTCCTCATTGATAAATTGGGGATGAAAATAAGCAGTAAATGAAAGTTGGTGATAATTAAATGTATTAAATCATGTAAATGCTTAGAACTTAACATATGGCAAAGATTCAATAAACATAATCATTATTATTTTTGCAATTGGATAAAGAAAAATTACACGTGGTTAGGATGGGTTTTAACCCTGGGAAACCACTTGGAACCGAAGAATCACTTCCTGGTGGTTTCGTGAGGTTGTGTTTACAATCCTGCGGCTGCTCCTTGTTTGCTGTGAAGACAGCCTGATGTAGGGGACAGTGGTAGCTCGCTGGATAAAGTGCCCAGAGGTTAAGGTCCCCACTGCATTTTGTCACTGACTTTTTAACCTGTTCACTTTCTATCAGAGCCTTGATTTCTTTGTACACAGAATAAAAACACTTGGGTTTTTGTTCTTGCCTCATTTAAGATTTGTGCGATGGTAGGTTCCCTTACTAAACAAGGAGGCAATGTGCTAGGGGTTAAGGAGATGAAGATTAAAAAGAGATAACCCTTGACCTCACAGATCTTAAAGTCTAGTAAAGGGAGGCAAATCTGTAAAGAGAGAATTAGAAGAAAGTGTTATATATACACAAGAATTGAGATGTGTGCAAACTGTAGCAGTGACATAAGGAGAAGGAATGACGGCTCCTTTTCGATAAACTGGTGTGGGGATAAGTTCAGTGTTGGTTTCTGAGAAAGTGACATTTGAGATGAGTCTTGAAGAGCAAGGATGTAAAGGAAAGGCCTTATAAACAAGGGACCAGCACGTACAAGTTTACAAAGACTTAAAAGTCAAGACCTACAATGTTGGAATTCTGCAGATACGTATTTACAATGTTTTCTTAATAATTCACCAAACCAAATCCAGAAATTAAAAATAAATTAGAGAGATCAGAGAGAAAGAAGAGGGGACCCAAGATGAGATAAATTTCAGGGTGATTAATGCACTTAATTGTTTTTATTTATTTACGTTTTAAAATTTTTTGCTGAAAGAAATGTCCATTGGATTTCTGATATTTTTCCTAAGACACATTTAAAACTATGATCACAATAACCAATATTTAATAAGAAATGACCTTTGTTAGTTGATATGGATATTTAAAAATTAGAAATATGTTTTGTCATATAGCACTTTACAGCCTCACTGGGGAAAGAAGATATGCGGACTTAAATACACAAACTACACATGCACACATACTGGAATTTACTGAATATCAAATCAATAACAAGAGTTTGTTGAGGTTTGGAAGAGGCATAATCAGTTTAGGCATCCTGAAGGAGCTGGGCGTTGAAGGATGTGGCACATTTCAGTTTCAGTAAAAGGGAAAAGAGAGCAGAGGAGAGCCATGCACAATGTGCACAGAGGTTGGAAAGTACAGTGTGTGGGGTATTTTTGATTTGGTCAAAAAACCTGTTTGTACAGGAGTAGTGGGAGAGTCAAGGCCATCTTAATCTATCCGTGGTCTTTAAATGCCCCACTAACACGTTATTCAGACGTTCTCCTGTAAAATAGTGGGGAATCATGGTTGCTTTCGGAGAAGTGAGCACATGAACGCCTCAGTAGTAGGTTCTTTTAAAAAATTAACTGAGTGCTTCTAGATATGCATAAGGATCACTCTCTTATAAACGAATCTTTTAAGAATACATTCACTGTTAATTCCAGCAAGAGTGTTGTATATTTAAATGTTACTCGTTACTGATTCATACAGATGTAACACTATAATCCGGCTTTTATACTTTTTAAGGCACAAGGTCAGTGATGTCAGTGTCCGTTACACGTTCTGCGCTTATTCAGGGTGAAAACTTCCCTGCCTAATTGGTTGGTGAGGTGGTCAAAATGAAATAGACAACATAGAAGTAACATTATCCGAACTGTATAAATTTCCTTTAATCTTTCCTTCCAAGTACTGAATGATTTGCTTAGTACCATCGTTCAACACATATCATCAATATTTATCATTAATTCAATATATATCCCCATTATATTCAGCTAGGTGCTAAGGATTCAGAGATGAATCAGGCTTGACCTCAAAGAGACATGTACTTGGATAAAACATAAGATAGATGCACTGGGTTCTTGGGAGAGTGAAGGAAGGAATGGCTGTTCTACCATATTTTTGTACGGTGACTTCACTGTGGGTGGGGTAATTGACTGAGTCATCTCTTGCTACTTCTCCTCACACCCAGACGAAGCAGACACCTTGCTGACCTCCAAAGTGACCTGTTTGCAGTCTGCAGGGAGTGCTTCATTGTGTCACCTCAGTGTGGCAAAGTCTTAGGCATTTCTCAACAAGCTATACATTTGTGCACACTACTTTGCCTCCAAGTCTGTCCACCCAAAGGTAGTGTCCTCCGTAGAAGAGAGGTGATAGTAACTGCAGAAGAATTTAGGAGACTCCAAAGAATGGGGAGAGAAGTTTAAAGAGCACTTTCCCCCTTCCCACTGGGAATCCTGGGAGACAGCTCAGTATGTCTAAGCAGAGACGGCTGGGATGGTCCCACGGTCTTCCAGGCCAAGCAGGGGCTATGAAAGAGACTGGGAGTCAGGTGAGGAGACAGTGAATGCAGGCTTGATGGGGGTGACCACGAGGGAACTTTTGACATCCCAGAAGATGCTGGTGAGATATGATGCCAATGACCAAAAACCATGGAACTAAGCTGGTAACATTTTTTTTTAAATGTGTGCCTAAATATGTAGCTTTGAAATATTGTAGCTGCTATGTAGATCACGGGATCGAATGTCTTCTCTCTCAGCCTTCTCTATTAAGAAATTCTGTCTCTGTCCTCTTTACATTCCTACTCCTCACTTAAATCTTTCTCATGACACTTTTCCGGGAGATTATAGCGAGTAACTAATGCTACTTGTTCTGTCTTCTTTATGAGATTGCACTCTTCTTGTCGGATTGTGTCACGTTTGTCTTGTTATGTCCCCATTCCTTGCACGGCCTCTTGTACTTCTCATGTGGCCGGAACTTTGTTTATAATGTGTTATAAAATTAACTTACCTGTAAAGAAAATACCATTTAGCTTGTATTCCAGAAAAGATCCTTTCATACACCACATTGTAGGACAAGGTGATATCACATAGCTCTTCTTTCTCACCGACGTGAATGAGTTCTTACGCAAACAAGACACTTAACCAGAGGACAAGGAATATTAGGAAAATTCTGCCAGTTACATAATGATAGTTTTGCGGAGAACTTACCCTGCTTTCTGTACTGCAGATGATGCAGTCTTATAGCTACAAATAGGCGTTAAGGTGTTATGTCTTCAGAATGCCATTTTCCTTGTCCGTTGTTACAGAAGTCTCTGATGAAAGGGCACTGTTTTAGAGAATATGTAGGTCTGCCGTGAAGATTCAGATTTCCATTCATAAAAATACTTGTGTGTGGAAGACTCTGGCTGTGACTCCTGAATACACATTAAGAAAATGAGCAGAGAAACTTTAGTATGAAATCTATAATCCTAAGAATTTGCTTCTTATCCTGATCCTGGCTTCATTACAGGGATTATTGGAGTAGTATTTGTCCTTCCTTTGTCGCTGTTTATTTTATTCCACTCTCACAAGATTGACATTGTCTAATTTATTCATTTCTGTTATGAGACTTGAAAAAATCACTGAACTATTGCTTTAAGCTTTCCTTATTTTGGTTCCCAACATCTCCATGCGTCTGTATGGAGCTGTTCCACGAACTGGCCACCTCGTACTGGAAAAGACGAGGTATTGAGTCTTTCACGCATATAGCCATACGTTAAAATAGGGAGTTTTTTGTTGTAATTAAAAGTAACTATAACTATGAGGATATAATTATGAAATAAATATTGGAGAGTCTGCTTGAGAAAATAGAAACTACTTACCCTGTTAAAAATAATTTTTATATGTTTTGAATTGTGAAACATTCATAATGAACATGTATTTTTACAATAAATTTATTACGTGAAGAAGAAATATATTCATGTCTAATTAAGTATATGATGAACAAGATTTTGTTTACTTTGCTGAGGAAGATTCTCCCTGAGCTAACGTCTGTTGCCAATCTTCCTTGTATTTTTTTTTTGCTTGAGGAAGATTAGCCCTGTGCCAATCTTCCTCTACTTTATATGTGAGTCCCCGCCACAGCGTGGCTGATGGGTAGTGTAGGTCCACACCTGGGATCCAAACCTGCAAACCCAGGCCACCAAAGCAGAATGCAACAAACTTAACCACTACACCACGGGACTGGCCCTGACAAACCAGAATTTTTATATTCTGGAACTAAAAGTCTTGCTGTTTTACATTTTGTGTATGTTTATATATTTCATATAAATATATACATTTATAGAAATATAAAATGTATTTTATATTTCTCCCTATACATATACTTACATATTTATATTCATTTTCCAAAGTATTTGCATTTTAGAATTATCTAATACTTTAAAGGTAGTGATAATTAACTTATTAAAAAACAAAAACAAATTAATAGAACAATAGCACAAAAAACTCTCCAGTCTGAGAATGCATTGGCCATTTATAAACTTACTTTTTTTTTTTTTTTTGGTGAGGAAGATTCTCCCTGAGCTAACATCTGTTGCCAATCTTCCTCTTTTTTTTTTCTCTTGAGGAAGATTAGCCCTGAGCTAACGTCTGTGCCAGTCTTCCTCTATTTTGTATGTGGGTTGCCGCCATAGCATAGCTGATGAGTGGTGTAGGTCTCTGCCTGGGATCTGAACCCGTGAACCCTGGGCTACCAAAGCAGAGCACACCAAAGTTAACTACTATGCCATGGGCCTGGCCCTGTATACTTACCTTTTAAGCCTTTCTTAACCTACATCCCACAGCATCAGGCTAAGCAAGCAAGAGAAGCACTTTGGATGGAAGCAAATGTCTTTGCAGTTCTTACAAATTTCTATTCCCATTACTACAGATGTAGTAAGAATGGAGTGTATTTTTAATTTCTTTTAGGATCACAGCTATATTTTCCTTCTCATAGCTAATGGTAATATTTTATCACTATTGGGAATTAAAGTCCAAAAAGAAGGAGAAAAAAATAGTCTTCAATGAATGTGATTAAGCTTGCATTTAAAAAGAATCGGAAAAGAAGAAAGCAGGAACACCTTACTTTTTCTTTTGAACTGCGTTTCACACCCCAAATGCTAATAGCAAACAAAGAGTAGAGAGTCACATGAAAAAACTGTAAAGGGTAATTCAATACAGGAACTTGCATAGAATTATTTTCCATTAGCTAATCAAAATCTTCATTAATGTAAATGAAATCTATTTTAGCTTCGAGGAATGTCGTTGATTCTTTAAGAGGTCTAAAAGAATAACGAACAAATGTATAAGAATAGTAATATGATGGTAATGTGTAATAATTATACATCGACCTAATTGCACAATATAGTACAAAGTGTAATCAGTACAGTGAAGAGCAATTTAGTAATCATTAAAAATCCTTAGGTGTTTCCTTCACGGTCCAGTGATACAAAGCAAATGTACATTTTATACCGATGATAGTCATCACTTTAAAATTGATTTTAAGCTTATCTTATGGCGTACAAAAATTATCTGGTGTTGATTTTGAATACCTTTTAAATATGAAAATGCTTTGGTGTTATATTATATATGATTTACTTAAGTTACATGCTCTAACCTTCCACAACTCAGCCTGATGCTTTTTTTTCCTTACAAACCAAAATGTGCTTTGAGTAAAATCCTTCAGTAGCTGATATATCTCTTTTTGGTGATATATCCTAAAGATGTGCTAATTCCAGCATAAGGGTGAGGAGACAAGACTCTTAATCACTAAACCACAAAATCTTTTATGGAGTTGAATAACCTCCAGGTGCTATTTTCTTGAGTCTTGTAAACTCATGTAAACATATTTCAGACAATAGCTGTTTTTTCCCTTTAATGACATCATTTTTACCTTTTAGAGGTTTACAAATGGCAAACTAAATAAAATAATGTCTTTTTTTGTACTCCAATAGCACTAAAAATGAACAGCAGCCTCTTTGCTAAGCTTGTCTACCAGCTTTCTGGGCATGTTTCACTTAAATGATTCCTTGTCTTCAAGAAGACACACATTCATAGTCTGCATGCGATCAGGCCAGTGGTCACTTATAATGCTGTGGCATAGATTTGAGTGGGGAGAAAATGTTGTTCTATCTGTCAGCACTTCTCAAACTTTTGTGTGCATGTGAATGACCTGGGGATCTTGGTATAACACAGCTCGTGATTCAGTAGGGCTGGGTGGGGCCCAAGAGGCCAGCTTTCTAACCAGCCTCAGGTGGGCCAGGGTTGCTGGTCCAGGAGCCTCACTTTGTGTGCCAGGCAGGTGCTATGCAATGTATTTTCATCTTTTCTCCTGAGTTAAATGAAAGCTCTTGAGGGAAGAGACCTAACATATCTTTATCTTTCCCCAGCAGGACCAGCACAGCACTCGTATCTAGTGGGTGTCTGATAAATACATGCTGCTCGCCAGAAGGAACATCAAGAGTAGAAGCCCATTGCTCTCTGGTGACTTTTGTTTTCTTTCAGAATGCATAAACAGGGGGCCTGCTCTCCACGTGTAAACTGATCTGGTGCAATTCAGGTGAGTGGTACTGTGAGAGCAGCAAGATGAAATTAAAAGGCTATACTGGAAGTCACGGAACCAGATGACAAATTTACAGTTAGTTATTTTCGCCTATTCTCTGCTTTCCCTGTCTAGATAGAATATATTCTAGGACTGGTGCCTTCTTCAACTCATGCAAATAAAAGTGCAGCATGGTCCAAAGTACTGGAGTCATGAGAAGGTAAGGGGGAAACAGCAGGCTGAGGACAATGCCTTGAAAGTTCCATCTAATTTGAAAACATCATAGATACTCAAGCAGAACTACACCTGCATTGCTTTCACCTAATCCTCCTCTCTTCTAAGATGTGAAATTGTTTGTCCCCGAGGCAATTCATCCATGTTATTTCTCACTTAAAATTGCTCCTAAACATTTTTGGATACTGAAAAAGTCAAAAGTCTATAGCTGTTTTCTTTTGCTCCTCTATCGCTAGGCATCCGTTTTCAAATGTGCAAGATGAAGCCATCCTGTGAGACACTTGGGCAACTTGACTTTCCCGTGTGATGGGTGGGGAACTCCGCTTAACGTGTCAACAGACTTTTACACTCTGTGCTTAGGAAGTCATTGTTAGTTTATTTTCTAGTATTCCATGTAAGTAATGGCTTGGCTAAATGAGAAGAACGGTTGAAAGGATATTAGCATCAAATCCAAACAGAGAGAGATTAAACAACCTTCCCAAGGTCATTGACAAATAGGTACCAGATCTCATCTCCAAATCCGCAAGTGACTTCACCAAGTTAGCTCATTCTTTCTTCCTAGACATCTTATTTTCCAGGAAGTAGTGGAGGTCTATGCAACTTTTGAAAATAAGAAATAGATTTTATTGTCAGATCTAAGACTAGAAAAGCATGGGTTATACTGTTAAAAATATGACAACTTATAGCAGAGTTTAAAATTGACTTCTAGCTATGTTTAGAACCCTAAGGAGATAATGGTAAGTCAGTCTTCTTTGGAAATATGTCATCATTTACAGGCAGAAAATGGTTCTCCATTCTAAAGAATAGCTCTCTGTAGGATTTGCTGAGTTTTCTATAGCTAGAGTTACTATACAAAATAAATGACATCTCAGAACATACTGTTGTCTTTGGTTTCAAATAATATATTTTATTATGTTTTTTCATTCCTGGCTACCATAGGGACAGAAAGAAAACCTCTCTTTAAAAAACTAGTGGCTGAAAAACAAATATTTGTGGTGCAATAAATTTGGAGTGCAAGATATCTTTCTTGGCTTCAGGTACTTTCCCAATGCTTATCTTTATTAAACATGAATGATTTGAAAATATAAAGTTTCTTGGAAGGATAATGTCATGGGCCAAAAAGAATGGAAACACAAAAGCTGCAACACGTTTCTGGTAATGGGCCTCTTTCTGAGAAACTTGCTTTGTCTTCTCAGCTTCCTTTCTTGAACCAGCCCACCCTGGCAATGCTAAACCAAGTAGTCTTCTCTTTATTGGTTTAAATGGGGAAACCAAAAGACACAAAGCTTAATGAACTTGTCTTTTTTAAAAAGCTTTTGTAGAAACCATGGTTTAAAAAGCAATATGAACCAGGCAGAAGACAACGTTGACTTCAATGTGTTATGTGTTAATCTGTTAGAAATACAGTAGTACGTTTAGTGGCAGAATATTAGGAAAATATGTCTTTAGATGCTGGATCATTGATGTTTTTATTTTATATTCCTTTTATACACTTTCTTCAATCGACATTCATTACCTTTTTATAAAAACAGCAAGAACAGTTTGTAAAATATTAAATATTTTTACATTATGTGTATTTTATTTACAAATATTTAAAAAATTATCCATAATTATATTAACAAACAGTGACACCTAAGTCTTGAGGGGCACAAAGGGAAGTCTTGATGGGCAGCCAGAGTAGAAAACTCCCACTAAATCGTAGCTTTGGCGCAACCCCAGCAGTTTGGAGGGTGCTATCTCCTTCCTCCTGTTCACCTCCCTGTCCCAGCTGAGCACTGAATGTCCCGGGGCAGTGTTGCTGGTCAGCAGCCTTGAGCCTAAGCACAGTGGTCATTTGCATTGTTTCTCAGTTCTCACCATTCTCCTCCCTTCCGATATCACCAGGCTGGCTCACCTCCCCAGTCTTCCCTCACAATTACTGCCATATCACACAAACTGACTTCTCTGCCTCCAGGCTTTCATTCCATCAACACGTCTCTGTTATATCACCAGATTAATCTTCTCCAAATATTTCTTTACCACGTCACACTTCTGCTAAAGAATTCCACAAAGGCTCTATTTCTTGTTTTTTATTTTTCCAAGTTTAAATTCTTTTCATATTCTCTAGTTATGCTATAATTGGTTACCAAATTATTTCTCTGAGTTCATAGTCTACTGTTCACCACGTCTCAATTCGAGTCAAGCAACTCCTCTCTCTTTCTCCTACGTAAATCAGGCACAATTCCACATCTCAACTCTTATTTGTTTGTTCTGCTATATACACATATCTTCCTCTTTTCAATCTACTCAAATACTAATGACCCTTTGATCTGGCCCGATTCCCATTACCTCTGCAAACCCTGACAGACAAGTCCAACCTGCAGAGAGCTCTCTCTTACTGATTCTCACTTGCTCATGTAATAAGAAGATTAAAAAAAATTCTATTCAAAGCCAGACTAGAACCACTCTTCACATACCAGACAAGTGGCATTTTCATGTAAGGGGAGGTGATTCTTTCTTTAGGGAAATAACTTGACGGGCTCTTGACTGGGAATAGTGAGGCTTCCCTGAAGCATGGGTTAGAAAAGGAGTGCCAAATTGTTCTTCAAAATTAAAGGGTAGATATATGGATTATCTGAGATTAGGTTTAAGAGAGAGCAGGAAGTTTGGAAATACTGGAGGGGAAGAGACAGCAAGAGAGTCTGAGGAAATGTAGCTAAGTCAATGGTTCTAAGGAAGCATGGACAATGGGAGGTTACCCATGCCTGGGACCAAAGACTATAGCCATTTAGGTTTAAATTAGTGTCTGTCCTATGCTGTAAACCCCACCTTCCACTATCTCAGATCTTTAGGAAAACTCTGTCCTGTGTCAGTCGTATTCTGGAGGAGTGAAGGAATTGGAGCCGTGGCCAGTGGGGAGCAAAGGTGTGCAGACCAAGGGCAGCAGCTGCAGGGGTGAGATGCCAAGGGTCAATTGTTAGGGAATAGAATCAGAAAACTGAAGCTAAAGGAAACTAGGGGAAAACGCCTCACCAGTAATTCTCAGCTATTGGAGTGGTTAGTGGGTTTTTCATAATATGTGAGAAAAAGCAAAGTTACTGAGTTGAAATATCAACCGGGAGGGGATATTATTTTCCCTGTACTGACTAGGGAATAATCCTAGGAATTTGCATGTCTAGCTGTTAGGATTATGGTTCATAGAGTTTGAATAAATCACGAGCTAGGACTCGTCTATTGTTGTCTTTCTCTGTGTGTTGCACAACCAGATAAGTTATATAAAGAAAGGGGAAAGGTTATTTTCTTCAACTTACAGTCAATGCTTGTTTTGGATATGATAAATTCAATCGTGATATATGTAAATTGTCAGTAGTCATTTAAGATATTTGAAGGCTTATAATTCCTACCATTATGAAGTTAGTCTGTCACTTTAAAACTATGGTTTAGGGCAGGAAGATAAAATATATGATTTTGTCTATTTAGGAAAAACTAGTTGTCCTAGGATAATAGTATAACTTTTATCTAGCCAGAAAAGGCAGTCTCAATGAATACATGTCTGTTAGTGAGATCGCTTTCAAACTTTCAGAAAGTGAAATCAGAGCTGCCGATGGTTGGGAAAACCTTTGTTGTTTGAGCATGATGGAAGAAATGTCACACACTTTAAGTTTAACTCCTATGTTTTCTCAAGGCCTCCAAAAAGTTTAATTGGAAAAGTGAGACTTTTCACAAAAACTAATTTGATGAGTGAATCTGAAGAAGTCAGGTGTGAAAGAGATAATAGACTTCAGAGAGTTGTGCTCACGGATGTCAGAATGAGGCAGTCAGGAGCAGGTAAACTGGAGTTAGGAGTTTTTAGCATCATTCAAAAAGTAATATTTCTCAGAAAATTCCATTTGAATGTGATGTCTATGATAACTTGGTCACAACCAACGTATTCCCTGAAACTATTAATGTGTTTGAAGTGCTCAAAACAAAGAATATCATCCACTTACTGTATTCATTGTCTGGAGACTGACAATCATGTTGTGTCGAGGAGCACAAATTGTCACAATACAAAAATACTAACTAGTCACTAAGCACCAATAAAATTAATGCCCACTCAAATATCCCTCCTTTTGTAACACCAGTATTTGTGTTAGTCAACATCTGTGTCAGTCAGGGCCTAGAAGATTATCAGATGCTTGTGTTATCCAACAACACAATTCAGTTTCCTTGAAAAGTGAAAGTGCAAGAGTCAAGCTTTACAGAGTGGTCGGGACCTGCCTGACCCTCATAGGCAGTCAGCAGGTCATGCGGCTTAGATCAGAGGAGAGAAGCAAAATGGTGCATGATGGGCTTTCAACAGGGACTGGTCTGAGAACCAGATTAGAGGTGAATCTGGAAAATAAAAATGAGCCTCTTTGCATGTGTGATATGAAATTTAAATTTGAAAAATAGAATGTGCCATAACACAATTTTCTTAGAAAAGGTATTTCTTACACAAATCAGTGAACACCTGATTCATTGTTGATTTGTCCTATTGCAAAGTTGCAATTATAACATGAATTTTAAAGATACAAATTAAATCAATTTAATTTCATAATTTATAGTTTTAATTTTCCAGGCTAAAGGCTAATTGATCTCTTTTCATGATGTAATATAAAATTCTCCGTCCCTATTTTGGGTGGACTCACTTAGAATGATCTTTTTTTGCGTCGCCAATTGTCCTTGAATTCGCTTTCGCACTTTTTTGTTTTAGTTTTTTTCCTAAAGCATTATTAAGATAAGTGTTGAGCAAGAATAATAAAAATAATCCCTTCATGATTAAAAAGGTGGCATGTTACGTATTCTTTATAATTACTCAATCAAAATAGAAAGCAACACAGTAAGTTTCATGTTTGAGCTATGAGTCAGAATGCGTGAGTTTCAATCCATCATTTTTTTGTTTAGTTATTCTCTAAGTGAGTATTTACTAAGTGTCAGGTAGTCCTTGGTGATGGCCTTACAACAGTGAGCCAGCACAGTCCTACC